TTGGTTTTGATGCCAGACTGATCTGGGATTAACCCACAGCTCTGCTGCTTAAAAAATTATATGGCTTTGGTCAAGTTTAACCTTTCCAAATCTTGTTTTCCCAGTACCTACACATATTTATTTGTTAATCCAGTATGAAAGTATTTGTTAACTGATATGCAGAAATAATCACCTACTTTACTCTAAGGATTATGTGACGGTCTGTAGTTCAAACATTAAGAATCATAGCTGGACTCGGTGGCTCAGTCTGTAATTCCGCGCTTTGGGAGGCTGAGGTGAGTGGATTGCCTGAGCCCGCGGGTTCGAGACCCGCCTAGGCAACTTGGCAAGACCCCATCTCTACAATAAATCAAAAAATTAGCCAGGCATGGTAGTGTGGGCCTGTAGTTCCAGCTACTTGGAAGGCTGAGGCGGAAGGATCACTGGACCCCAGCAGGTCGAGCTGCAGTGGCTGGGAGCAGCCACTGCACTCCAATCTGGGTAACAGAGTGAGACTACAACTGAAAAAAAAAAAAGAATCATAGTTGGCCATGGCTCAAGTCTATAATCCCAGCACTTTGGGAGGCCAAGGCAAGAGGACTGCCTGAGCCCATGGGTTTGAGACCAGGCTGGGCAACTTGGTGAGACCTCGTCTCTACAATACACCAAAAAATCAGCCGGGTGTGGTAGCGCACACCTGTAGTTCTGGCTACTTGGAAGGCTGAGGCAGATATCACCTGAGCCCAGCAGGTCGAGGCTGCGGTGGCCAGGAGCATGCCACTGCACTCCAGTCTGGGCGACAGAGTGAGACTCCAACTCAAAAAAAAATAAAAAATCATAGTTGATCAAGGCTTAGCACATTATAAATGCTCCTATTTTCCCTTCCATTCTTCCTTTTCTAAATTGAATGCAGAAATTTAGATATGCCACAGTAAAGACTAAATATAAAGTACATAAAGTTGCTCATAATTACCCTTCCAAAGAATAAACTAAACCAGGCTTGGCACACACCTCTAACGTCAGCTACTTGGAAAGCCAAGGCAGGAGGATCACTTAAGCCCAGGAGTTTGAGCCAGCTGAGGCAATATAGTTGGATCCCATCTCAAAAACATAAAAATATGGCCAGACACAGTAGCTCATGCCTGTAATCCCAGCAACTTTGAGAAGTCAAGGCAGGAGGATAGTTTGAAGCCAGGAGTTCGAGGCCAGTCTGGGCAATGTAGCAAGACCCAGTCTCTACAAAAAAAAAAATGGTAGTAAAATATTAGACAAAGAACTTTTCAGCAATTTGCCAAAGGAGAGAGGGAGAGAGAGAGAGAAAGATGGAAAGAGAATCTGCATCTTCTCTCCCCCCCACCAAATAAAGATAAAAAATAAAATTAGTATACTAAGATCATCAGCTAGTGTTAGAATTTGACAAAACTTCTCAAATGACAGTACTGGAAATGAAAAGGGAACAATGTAAGGACAGCAAGCAGGCATCTCTAATGATTCTAAAATGCTCAGTCTTGGTCCAGCATGGTGGCTGGCTCACACCTATAATCCTGACACTTTAGGAGGCCGAGGCAGGAGGATAGCTGGAGCCCAAGAGGCTGGTCTTGAACCAGCCTGGCAACAAAGCAAGACCCCGTTTCTCCAAAAAAATAAGAACAATAAAATGCTCAGTTTAACAACTTCCTTCTGAATATTCTGTGACCTGGCACTGAGAGGTCTGTTTTGAAGGCTGGGGGTAGGCAGCACAAAGCCAAGTGCATACCCTTAACATTTACAAAGCAGGCACAGGAGAGCAGCAGAAGACAGGAGTGTTGAGGGGATCCTGGAAGGACCTGGGAAGAACATGCCATTTTTGTGAGCACTCCTCAGCTGTGCTTGCAGACAAGATAGAGGACGTATTGGACAAATAAGTGCTCAGGAGTACAGAGCAAGGGGAAAGAGGAGCAGGAGAGGAAAGATAAGAAGGGTATTTTATAATTCACCAAAATGAGTAGAGTACTACGCCTTGTTTTCAAACTGACAAACACAAACTCTAGGAAAGACCGCAGCAGCACTAGAGATGGACAACTAAGATAACATCCAAATTCTCACCCCACAATGCAAACCTGCCTTTCCTTTGTACAGAATCCTATATAAACTCTCTAAAGGCTTATAACGCGATCCAAATTCCCTTAGAATGAACCCACCACCCCTAGGGTAAAATCCAAATTCCCTAGGCTACCAAAGTCTTGCTGTGATCTGCTCCCTACTTAGTTCTCCAGCACCCATTCTGGCTCTCTGCTGCATCACACCACATTGTGGGGCAATCATGTGACTATTCTCCAGCCCTCCCACCAGACTGTGTGCTTCTTAGAAGGTATCTCATCAATAGGATGATCCAACAAAGTAACCCCAACACAATAACCCTTAAGTGTTTATTGAAACCGTTTAACTGGGCTCTTGCAAACAGGCCCCTTTGGCCTTAATGAGAGAAAGGTGGTCCATCCTTCAAGAGAACCACCCAGATTGGAGACCACAATCTCAAATCTGAGTTCCCAGTCTTTAGGACTGCCTGAGCCAGGGATGCAGCACAACTGACAGACTAAGTTAACTACATTTCCTGCCTCTCTTAATGCTAGGTTTCACTCTATTTGTAACTGTCAGTGAAGCTAAATTTAATCAACTAGTATTTTATGCTGTACCCAAGTCCGCTAAAATTATAACTAAAAGGATTAATGACAGGATTGAATTTTATAAGCAAAAGCTCATACTAACTAATTTTTTTTTTTTTGGAGTTGGAGTCTCACTCTGTCGCCCAGACTGGAGTGCAGTGGTACACTCACCACCACCCTGTGTCGACCGGCTGGGCTCAGGCGATCCGTCAGCCTCAGCCTTCCAAGGAGCCAGAACTACAGGCGCAAGCTTACCATGCCCTGCTAATTTTTTATTTATTGTAGAGACGAGGTCCCACCAAATTGCCCGAGTGGGTCTCGAACCTGCAGGCTCAGGCAATCCACTTGCCTTGGCCTCCCAAAGTGCTGGGATTACAGGCTAAGCCACCGAGCCTGGCCTGGATTGAATTGTATAAGCAAAAGCCCATACTTACTGATTTACATTTGAGTTATATTCAGTATTCTTATGTCAAAGAGCTTTTCAACTCACAATTATTTGTGAATTAAAAAAAAATTTTTTAAATCAGATAGGCGCCTTGGTTTATACCTGTAACCCCAACATTTTGGGAGCCCAAGGTGGGAGGATTGCTTGAGGCCAGAAGTTCAAGACCAGCCTGGGCAACATAGTGAGATCTTGTCTCTACAAAGTTATATATATATATACACACACACATGTATGTATATATTTATATATATATTTTTTTTTTCTTTTTTGAGTTGGAGTCTCACCACGTTACCCAGGCTGGAGTTCTGTGGCACACTCACAGCCACCCCAGCATCGACCTTCTGGGCTCTGGCGATCCTTCTGCTTCAGTCTTCCAAGTAGCCAGAACCACAGGTGCGCGCTACCATACCCGGCTAATTTTTGATTTATTGTAGAGATGAGGTCTCACTAAGTTGTCCCGGCTGATCTCGAACCCACGGGCTCAGGCAATCCACTCACTTCGGCCTCCCAAAGTGCTGAGGTTACAGGCTGAGCCACCGAGCCCAGACAAAAATAGATATATTAAAAAACCGTGTGCCCACACAAGAGTTCAGACTGTGAGGTTCACACTCAAAAAACCTGGGCAGTTGGCCTAAGGGTTCCCCAGGATAAACCGCCAAATAGATTTGCTTCTCAGCTACATATAAGAAACCGCCAAAGAAAAGCTTAAGAAACTCATATTTCTTAGGGACTGTTTTTATTGCTTTTGTAAAATAATTTTCTCTAGGGATGGCCTGTCTCATTCCAAGTAAGACTTTTTCTTGGGGCTGAGCATGGTAATTCCAGCACTTTGGGAGGCCAAAACAAGAGGACTGTTTGTCTAGGAGTTCGAGACCAGCCTAGGCAACAGAGGGAGACCTTGTCTCTACAAAAACATCAAAAAATTAGTCGGGCATGGTGGCACGTGCCTGTAGTCCCAGCTACTTGGGATGCTGAACCAGAAGGACTGCCTGAGCCCAGGAAACCAGGGCTGCGGTGAGCCATGATTGTGCCACTGCACTCCAGCCTGAGTGTCAGAGTGAGACCCTGAATCAAAAAAAAAAGACTTTTTCTCTAGCTAGTCTTCCACATGCAGAACTTCTCTCACTGTTTAAGGCCCAGAGATCCAAAACCTAGAATGCAAACTCTAAGAGTGCAATGAACTTTGTCTGTTTTGTTACTGAAGAATCTCAAGTACCTGGAACACTGCCAGATACAAACTAGGCTCTCAATAAATACCTGTTCAAAGTCTGACTGAATGAGTGGATGAAATTACTTTCTCAGGGGAGCACTCCTCAGTCTGCCCCAAGTACTTCTAAAGCCCTCTAATGTGTTTCCATCAGGAAACTAAAAGTTTCACCTCCAAAAAACTCTGCACCACCAAGCAAAACCCCAAGGTGCTACATGACTTGGAGAAAAGCCACACCAAGAGCCACATTCCTTGGTTTTGCAATTCAGAGTGGTTCAATGCACAAGGGCACAATTCCTTAAACTGACAACTGATAAATACATTGGTCCCTTGAGCATGCAAGCTACCGTCTACTGCAGTGATTCTCCAACCTGGCTACATGTGTACGATTACCTTTAACGGAGAGAAGTTAAAAATCAGATGCCCAGACTACACCCCAGCCCAGTGAAATCCGTTTCTCTGCGAGGCAGGCATACATATTTAAAGCTTTCCAAGAAGTTCCAAAGTGCTGCCAAGTGTGAAGACTACCTCTCTACCGACTTCAGGCCACCCATGGGAGGCCTGCTTGGTCTTCCCAGTTTGTGAGGAGCAGACTTCTGGAAGACCTCAGAGACGTTCAAGGACATGATCTTTGTGGGTCTCCTTCCACCAGAAGTCTCGTCCCCAACCTCTCAAAGCCACATGGAAGTGGCTTCACCCATCGCAAGGCGTGGCAGCCACCTACCTTAAGGCTGCAGGCTTCCTCCTCTAGAGAAGCCATTTCTTCTAGAGAGGGATCGGCAGGGCGCACAGGGGATGCCCCTGACGAAAGGAATCCCCGAGTGCTCCGAATCAGGCCGCCTTTGGGGGCGGCTCTGCCCACACGCGGACCCGAGGAATGAGAGGAGGAGGAGGAGGAGGAAGAGGAGGAATTTCTGCGGTGGGATGAGCCCCGGGATGACCGCGGCGTGCAAGCCACATCGTCCTCCTGGGCTTTCAGGCGCTTGGGGCAGCTGGGCCCTCCCGCCCGCGACGCAGAGCTGGGAGCTGGCCGGCGGCTGGAGGAGGCCACATCACCGGGCTCCCGGAGGCAGCCGCGCTTGCTGGGGCGCCCTTCCGACGTGCTGCTCCAGTGGTACTTGACCTTGCGCCCCTCCGACGCCATGGGCACCTGCAAGGCAAAGGGGGTCTGGATTCCAACACCACCCTTCCTGGCTGCCCCACCTCACGTTCGCGCCACCCCGCACCCCCTGAGGCGCGCGGGCCAGAAGGCAGAGCCCCGGGCTGGCCTTACGGACCTTTCCCTCTTCTTTCCACTGCCCATCACAGTTCTCAAGGTGTCAGAAACTCCAAAGCGCTTCGACTCAGTGTGCGGTTCCGGAGCGCTTCAGAGAAGTCAAAACGATCCGAAATTTACTAAAGGCTTCGGTTTGGCTACCAAGCCCGCAACGTGCTTCCGAGATCACCAAGCGCTTCAGTCTGCACGGCGCTACTCCGGAGCCGCCGAAGCGCTTCGACTGAGTTGGCCATACAAAGCCTTTCTGAGCTGTCAAGCGCCTCTAGAGACCGCAAGGCGCTTTAAGGTCCACACATGGCTGCCAGACCCACAGCCCTAGAGCCGGGCG